TTTGAAGGCAACTGACATTCTTCTTTCACTTTTCTTTTTGTTTGTGAAATTTTCTCCTTTTTTTTATCCACTCACTTCTCCATCTGCTTTCACTTTTGTTTGCTTGGGCCGTCTCTCATCCCAACTTGATAATGAGGAATGCGGTGTGACCCTGACCTCTATCAGCCCATGCATGACCTTCTGACTCCCCCACATAACCTTTGACCGTCTCTTTGACAGCTTGATTAATTACCCTGTGTTATGATTTATGAGTAAGTGCTATGTAAAAATAATAGACAACAGGTGGTCCTCTAAAAACTTTTTGTGGCATGTTTTCTTTTCCTGCCTAACTTGATGAGCTATTTTAAGTTGGGAACTTAGCGGGACAATGTGTGTTTGGCAGTAACACGGCATTTTTACACACTCAGACACAGTGCTGGAATTCAGGCAGCCGAGGTGTAGCCGGGATGGAAATATCGCAAAGTGTTAGCAGGGTGCAGTTGCCAAAATGTACATTGGGTGGAAACAGAAAGCGGAGTCAACTGACATTTCAGGCGTTTCAGTCTCAGGTCACGTCTTGAGAAAATTGCTCAAATAATGGAGGGGGCATTTTTCAAGCTGAGCTGCATCTCCAACAGCTATGTTTACTTTAACGCTTCACTAGTGACTTCTGATTGGTTGTCATGACCTCATCCCACTGTTGCACCTACGATGTCGCAACAGTGACATAGATGTACCCTTCTCGTGGAAAAGATGGGAAAGGAACAGAACATACATCTTTCAGTAAGATGAATGGACGTTGCTGTGTCCGTCTTAACCACGGGCAGGTTTAAGAGCTGAGCACTTTGAGTTGCACTTCCCCTGGGAATTAGCTCCAGTCTTGTTGCCAACGATCCAAATAGAAACCTGAACTTGAAAATTCAGGTTGATAAAGCTTAGGAGAGTGATCTCTTTCAGACCCTCGCTCGCAGTCCAGAAAGATAGTTACACAGGTCAAAAGATTCCTCTCCAGCCCTGACCTCTCTGGTCACATATGGTGTCCCATCTTGGTGGATTAATATGCAGAGCTGAATGCTTTCAGCTCATTATTCATGTGGCCAGGCAGAAGAGATTTCAAAAGATTTGGAATTTACCTCAAATACTTTGGGGTTCTTTTTTTTAACCTTACTCTTGCTGTCAGAGGCAATAATTTTGGTATTCCTTCCGTTTCGAACATCTCGCTTGAACTTCCAGTGAGAGGCAGAAAGTACCGCTCCATTTCTGGCTCACGTATTATGGTGGAAAAGGCCCTTTTACGGTGTTCTGTCTTTGTAGTAAAGGTATTGTAACCGAGATTCATGATTCTTTCCAACACTTGACTTTGTCAGCCTGCTTTTCCTTTTGTCATCGTTTGCTGGGTCAATCATAAGTATTAATTGTATTTGTATTTATGAACCTGAAAGTGGAGTTTGTGCACAGTCCTCTACCTCTAGAAGCAGTTACCTGGAGGATGCTAGTAGTTAGTGTAGATTATGTTTTACTTACCTTGAAGCGTTAGAATTTGGGGAAATAGCTGTTAATTGGGTGTTTTAGTCTGAGAGAGAAGCTGTAATTGTATCCACCGAACTTCTAGATTAGAGGCTGGGACTTGTATTTATCAGTGTCTGTCCTGATTATTGCGTCTCATCACAGACACACTAATGGGGGATGCAAGCAGACCTTGGCTTCTGTGCAGCTTCTGTTTTCTCTTTTTTTTTGGTGCTGCAGGCTCTTTGCTGGGTGCTGTGTCCCAAAGTTTAGCTTTTTACCATGAAAAAGCTTTGCACTTTGGAGAGTGGTTTCTCTTTCTGCGTGCACTGTACACACAGGAGAAAACTGCTCCACTGTTAGGTATGTTGAAAACATACCTAGTGTTTTACTGGGGGTGGCAAGCTTTAAAAACTCTCCTGGATGATGGTATTTACTTACATCACAGGTCACTACGGTTTAACAATGCTGTAAGCTCATCATAGCTGAAATCGATATTTTTGATGACGTTGTGAGGTACATACTTCTGAACACGACTTTCACTTAAAAAGATACTTTTTAATGAATGTGATTCTTGTCTTTGCTTAACAGTCGTGCCAAAGACTGTGTATCTTGCCTAATTATTAAAGTTTGCTAAAGGCCTTTTTTTATATATTAGTGGTCTTGTGCGCTCAGTTTTGCACTGACTTGCCGTCTGCTCACGCCCGCTGTGTTAGTGTGGAGTTCCACCTTTTTTTTAATTTTCTGACTGCACTGAACTTCAATGGTGCAGCTATGCTCACGTGAAATACATTTTTTTTAAATTAATTGAACTTAAAAGCCACATTGTTTACATAGATGTTATTTAGAGCTGAGTATTCCTTTTCAGTAGAAAATGCTTGGGCTAAGGCTGAGTGAGAGAGGTTGTAACTGGGTACAATTTTACCAGTTATTTTGTTTTTCCGTGTTGCTTTATACATGTTACTCTCAAATCTTCTTTCTGGTGCCATTGTTTACATCTTGCAATTTAGGATGCAGAAGTACAAGGGAAAGGGAAATACACTACGTCGCGTAAGCAAAACAATCTGAAAAAGATTACCTTCCTAAGAGAAAGTCTTATGAATTGTAAGATTATTTTATTTCTCAGTTATGGGAAAACCTATCTCAGTTATTACTTAATTATTTTAATTGTACTGACAGGAAGGGCCTGCTATGTGGGAGAAATGTGGAAAAAAATGTACAGGGAGACATGTTACACTGCTTAAAATATAATTGATAAAAATCTTTTAATTGATTTATGAAATAGTGAATTTAAAAATGGAATCATATTTCATCTGTTGATGTCTATGTGAAAAATTGACATTGTGTCCTCATAAAATTGGACAAATGAGTCATGTAATTTTCAGTTACATAATCAATAACTTAGACAAATTCTACTTCTTTGATGATTTATGTGTCTGTTTTGTGGTCAGCTTGAAGTGGACACAGAGTTTCAAATCCCTGTAACACTTGCAGACCTGTAATAAACGCATGAATTTTGCATTTGGCATTGTATAGAAAGCAAAACTAATCAATGCGCGGAACGTCTCTGCTCAAAACGAGCAGGTCAAGAAGATGAACAGCACAGAGCGCCCCAAAACCACCAGCCTGCCACGTACCGCGAAAACGTGGTCCTACCCTGCCACTAGCGAGCTCAAAAAACATCCTTTCGTCTGAGGCGTGTGATTTAGGGACGTTTGTAAGCGGTATTCTCCCCTGCGATGGGTTTTGGGCTTTGAATTTTCCACGTTGGAAATTTTACGTGTTAATAGTAGGGCGTTGTGTGTTCATGTGACCAGCAATGGCGTGGGTAGATTTTACACTTCGTCTCCTTTAATTTTCCGTTTTCCTTTGCCCTTCCCCCTTTGTTTGTTTGTTTGTTTGTTTGCCTGTTTGTTTATGTTTATCCCAGTTCCATTCACTCAGCAGGGAGGGCAGGGGAGCGACATGACAGGAGACCGCTTACTCACGGCGCCGCGCCTAGCGAGGAGGCAATTTTCTCTTTGGCCTACGGTGACCTTTTTTGACTACGTCCCTTACGCCAGAGACAGTGTCCTGAATGCCTCTGTTCCACCCTGTTTAGCAGAGTGCAACCGTGCCCTTTAACTTGGTTTTTGGTGGGAGGAGAAGCTACGGCAGACGTTTGAGAAGGGCACAAGGACGAGGGGTAGGAACTCCCTTCAGATGCGATTTTGATAACTAGTCGAGTGTGTCCAACTGTAGAAAATCACCGAGTGACAATCTGTCTACCTGACAGTGGCCACAAAGCGCTACAAGGTTTGTGAATGGCTCTACAGATCAGAATAAAGCAAGCCCAGATAAAGTATCTTTTGTTGGTGTGGGCTTGGTTTGCTCTGGCCAGCTAGGTGTGGGGACCTCTTTGATCCTCGTGCCTAGCCCAAGCGCAAAACGAAGCAGCAACTGAAAAGCTGGAATAAAGCTGTTCAGTTAGATAATTAGTATAGACGTTTCCAAAAAGTAAGTCTCTATCAAAATTTACTCTTAAAGGACAGCTTGATTTTGACTGGGAACCCATGGTAACTTTAAGGACTCATCTGTTAAATGCACGTGCTTCTCTTTTCTCCCTGCGTTTGCGATTATATCTTCCACGAATATTACAATTCTTGTGTGATTTGCCATCATTTAAAAATCATAATAAAATGATTGGCTGATTTATTCAAGATTTATTTCTCATTCATAAATTCATGTATTTTTCAACCAGCTCATTTTCTGAGGCACAAAAAATGCAGCTGGTATGCTCAAAAGCATCCTGCAGGTCACAAATTTTCTCTGGGTTTGTTGAATACAGGACATAATCCCAGTGAAGTTTTAGAGCAGATTTAAAGATGTACTTAAAAGTCATCCCCACAGTAAAAGAGTTGACTTGTAAGCAATACCACTGAATCAGTTTTGGTATTGATTCATTGTTACTGCCGCTATTGGCTTCTGCATGGTATGCTTGTTGTCAGCTAGACAAAAGGTCTTACTATTTTAAACTGCAGTGAATAATTTTCACATGCTTTCTTTAATATATATATATATATATGTATATTAAATCCCTCCATCCTTTTTATTTTAAAGGTTTTTATTGGCTGGGTAGAAAGCTTTTTATTCATCATTATGTAGAGTTCTTAAAATAATATTTTGCTTTTAGTTCTCACACTGTTTTCTGAAAAAGTCATATAAAGTGCTTATGAATAAAACAACATATTAAATTATTTTAAAGGTAAGCCAGGCAACTTTTCTGACGCTGAGGGATGTGTATGAGCATAAGTGCACGCACAGACACATATTCACACATCAATATCCCTTTAATGACAGAAATGAAACAAACAGAATAGTCTTAAAATACCCTTCTGTAAATTCTGTTGTGTGAACTTACTGAAATAAATATGAAAGTTTTTAAGAGCGTTAAAGTAAATGCAAAGCATTTTCAAGCATTAAATCTCCCTTTCTGTATTTCTTCTTTTTGTGTGTGTGTGTCTCTTCTAAAACAGGAAGGCTATGGAGTAATAGTACTGAATCCCAATGAGAACTATATCAAAGTGGAGAAGACAAAAGCCCAAGTACAGCTGTCTTCTGATAGCTCAGGTGAACCTGCAGAAAAGAGGGAAAGAAAAGATAAAATCCAGAAGGAAACAAAGAAGCGACGTGACTTCTACGAAAAGTATCGAAACCCACAAAAAGAAAAAGAAACTATGCAGATGTATATTAGAGTAAGTTTCTTTTGGTTTTCTTTGCCCTCCTTTAATGACGTATAGATATGTTTACTGTCCATATTGCCTAATAAACAGCATGCTTTTTTAAAAACGAACACATTACCGAGATGGCATTCAAGAGTTCATACAGAGTTCCTGGCTCTTTATTCTATTGGTATTTTTTGTCACTTATTGAATGTGAAGTTTTGGAAGAGTTACAAAACGTTCCTTTCTAATTTGAAAGGGGAACTTCAAATAAACCCCAGAGGAACTCACTGGTGCTATCAAGAAGGAGAATGATTTAAGGAAGACTTTGTAAGAATTATTTTATAAACAGAGTTGTACGTAAGAAACACTTTCTAGTGCAGCTTAGGCAACAAATTAGCTTCACATGTCATGTGTGCATTTATTGTATTATATTGTCTTATACTGGGGAGGCGGTAGTTATAGCCTGATAGCTTTTTAACATATTACCTGCTGAATTAATAATGTATTGTGGAAAATACTGGTGTTCATCATGTGTGGTAGCAGATTTACCCTATAATGTATTGTTTTCATATGAGCAGCCATCCATTGTGTTTCAGCTGAACTTCTGAAGGCAGATAAAGGAGGAGAGTTATTAATATCTTAATAAATATTTAAGCTAGAATAGTTCGAGAATGGTGTAATGAGGAAACTCTGTCCCTTACTCTTTTCTTACTCAGTGAACCTTTGCACTTTGTAATGCTACCAGCATGGGATCGTTATAACAGTGCTACCCGAGGATTTCTAATTCTGCAGGGGCCACAAACAATATTATTTGCACTTTGACATGTTTTGCTTCATATACATACTATGCATTATACATTCGAGACTGAGTCATGCAATTTCCAAAGCCTTTATTATGAAAGTTAGCATTTTCATTCAATGGTAAAACGTGTCAAAAACGCCACAGTGCAGTTAAAACTGTAAAAATGTATATGCCTTCCTGGTGTGAAACAGAGAAAAATCCAGCAAAAGGGATGTTGGAATCATCTTAAATTTTAGCAAGTTCCTATTAATTGTGGTTTGGCATAACCACAATTATTTGGAGAAATACAGCTGTACTGGCTAGTTAAAATGGCTTGTAATCTGGGTGTGAGTTTATCACTAATACCGTAAATTCTACTATGTCTTTTGAGAAATACCTTGCTACTGGGTATGGGAAACAAAAAGATGCCTATACATATTCAAAGTCACCAAAAAGCTGCTTTTTCGATCTGCTGCTTTTTATGAGAGATGCAATTCTGCCCACCAGCCAGACCCTGCTTCTAAAGAAAGAGGGGCAACCAGGCTTGTCTCAAGGTCCATCAGAAGCCAGTGGACGATGTTGCTGTATTGTCCAGAAAGGTGTTCAGTCAGCATGCTGGTCCAGAGTCCCCTTGTTGAAAGTGTACCTTTTTTTGATACCCTTTTAGCAGTTCCACTTTCTCATGGCTCTTTTGCTTGATGAGGCATGAAATTTGGCTTCAGGAGGTTTGACCCCCGAAACATAAAATGCACGACTCCATCCCGTTTTCTTTTTTTGCGTGGCTCCGTGCCTCAATATGAGTGTTGACATTCCCTTTATTCAAATTTCTTCAAAACAAGGAAGAAAGTAGCATAAGTTTTAGTGAAAGTGTGGGTGGTGGTCTCCTTTCCTGGGTGAATTAACTGAAATCAGGTTTTCTGATGCGGTTGGTGTTTTATTCTGAAAGAATTCTTCAGGTTTTTTCTTTAATAGGCTCTAATACAGAGTTTTAGAAACACAATGAAAAATGTCCCTGTTTGGTGTGTGTGGCAGGGTAAATTACTGCAATTTACTTGCCTGGTGGCAGTCCAACAAAGCTGGACCGCCAGTAGGGAGCCATTTACTCCGTTGGGCAGAACTGCTAAGACTGTAAAAACTTTGTGGCTACAGGAGGAGGTGTGAACGTAGCGTGCTCTGCTCCACCTTCCTGGCCCCAGACACGGTTGTCAGTCTGTCCAGGCACCGCACGGTGCAAACAAAATGGCGCAATGCCGTATTTGCAGTGTATTTCTTGCCTCCCGTGCTTGGGTCCGTAGGATTACGGACCACGTAATTCCGATTACGGAATCGCCATTCGTTTGCACCCCGGGACTTGCTGGCAGGCTTACCTCAACCACAGGCTGCTGGGGGGTGCGGTGTTGGAGCTGGTTTGGAGTAATCTCAAAGGGCAATTTAGATATGACCTTTACCTACTGTGTAGCATAGCATACGTTTGACTCAGTGGGCTCTTGAAATAAAACATATTGTCACTCCACAGAAATATTTAAGGACGGTATATGATTCGTAATGATCTCATCAAATAATTTTGAAAAACCTGAGTAAGCCTTACAACATCTTTGCCAAGCGGGGCAAACTGGTACAGAGAGACTAGGTGAAAAATATCCTCACAAGAAGGCATCAACTGCGTCTAACGTAGAAGGAAAATTTGTTTGTGTCAAATATGCTGGAGAAATTGTTTCAGACTGTTAAGCTGTAGGAATAAATATCCCCGGTTATGTTCTCATAGGGTCATTGAGATCTGTTGTGATCTGATGAGGAAATGCCATTTGAACAAATTAAAACTGTCTGGATGATGCTCCCACTTGTGCAGTTAGATTTTCCAAGCATTAGAAAAATGGAACTCTTCCATGGTAAATTTTTCAAGTATTTTATTTATTTTCCTAGGAAAAAACAGATAGCTAGCATACTCAAGAATATGTAAAAGCAGAGTCTTAAAATACGAAATCTCAAATTGCACTGTATTTTTGTACAAAATAGTATAAATAAAAAGGACTATGGGAATATGTAGTGCATTAAGCATAGTGCTTGAAAGATCAAAGAACTTATTGTTTCATGCTGGAAGTTTTCTTAACTATGAAATAATGTACTTTCTGGCATACATTATAGCTTGTTAAAGGGACTGATTTGGTCTGGGCAGTAAACATCATGTCAAACATTATGGCAGAAAAACCTGCTTAATATGTTTCGTAATAAGACAGAATTTTTTGTTCTTGAAAACATCTGCCAACTGAATTCACGAGTGAAGACAGAAAATGTCATCAATTCAGTAACAATCTTATAAATTTGGTTTCTTTTTTGGCGATGCAAACCAAGGAAAAAACTTCTTGATAATCAGCATTGACTATAATACTTTATGGAATGATTAAACAAAAGCATTTTACTTTTATATAACATGCTAATGAATGCATATGAATTTTAATACTCTTACTGTTCAGATTTTAACAAGCATATTGCCAGCAGATCATTTTAAAAGCATCTGTTTTTTAATGTGTTGAATGGAGGGTTGAGCCAAATAGCTAAATATGTACATACATCCTTTTAAAAAACATATTTCTATCCTTACTTATAGATACTACCATTTTTTCTTAGACCACCAGAGGCTGCTGCTGTACATATTGGCTAATGCTTCCCTCCAGAGACTTAATACCCTAGCCAACCTTCATTTATTACTGAACTAAACTGAGAATTTGTTGATCTCTAACCTTTTTCTATGGAAACAGATCATACAGGCTTAAATGTGACATGATTATTCCCTCCATCCTCCAAGCCATCTCCCACTCCCTACAGATTTTCACATTGACACTGTCTTCTCTATGTTAAAAGACACTTAGAAATGTAAATCAGTATTTATCCCCTTCTAAATAGCATTCACCACTTAAACAAGTATACTGAATGGATTCTGAAATGTTATTAAAGAAAAAAGTATAAATCGCGTAATTTTATAATAATAGTAATTTGCGATAATGTTGTTGCCACAATAGTCGAGGGATATCAAAGAGGCAACGAAAGAAGAAGTAGGAAGAAGTAGTACCTTTTCTCAGACCAGCTGATGGGGTCAGGTTTTCTGGGCAAAAGGGATAAACCTTTCCGAGGCCTGTATGCTAGGAATTTTGTCCTTTTTTTTCCACCGAGCTTAGCTGCTTTAATAATTCTTACTGCAAATATTATTTTTACTATAGCACAATCTATAACAGCGCTATTTATACTAGCAGCGTATCAATGAGATTAATTTTGGATGTAACATACTTTTCATAAATAATTTTTCACATTTTCTGCGAGAGATTAAATAGAAAAAGATCATGTGCAACTAATTAATTTGTTTTACTAAAAATGGATGCATCAGGATAATTTGTGCCAGTATTTAGGAGAAAGCGGTAAAAGGCAGGTTTATTAATATACGGTTAAGTACGCAGCGACTGCTGGTGGGCAGGAAATCCTGGCAAGCGTGCAAGCACAGTTGTGCCATTTCTGCTTATTGTTCGGTACGGCTGACACGAGGCATCGCCTGACTGAAGGTCACCGCCGAGCGTCCGCTTGTGCAGGGTGACCTTTCGGTGCGGCGGGCTTATTGCACTGCGGTCCCGCCAGCTGCGCAGGTCTGGCCCCGTGGCCGTCCCTGGGCTGATGCAGGCTCCCTCTGCCTACCCAGCGACTTGGCAAGGTGCGCGCCTGCTCTCGTCCAGAGCCTGTGTGGCTGCATTAGTGTGCTGCTGAGACCAAGCTAATAAGCCCTTTATTCCAGCAGAAGAGACAAAATGACAAGCGCTAGGCAGACAGCTCCCAAGAGGTACGGGACATGCTCCAGCACAGAGAAAGTCCGTGGCAGACCTGGGCATCAGGACCCAAACCTCCAAAGTCTCAGTCCAACGTTTATATTGCAATACCTTTTTTCTTCCTCTCTTACAACTTCCAGAGTTACTTTACCTATACGTCTGAAATAACACATCGTTTTACTTTGTCTATATTTACCTGTCAAAGCCTGTTACTTCCTTCTGTTCCTGTGAAATCTCTTTCACTTCTAAGCAACAGCAAAATCATGCAGGCCATGGAAAACTTATGAGAACTGCTTAGAAACTACTATGGCTTTATTGGTCTTGCCCCACGTACCAGTGGGCGTTCAGAGTTAAACAAGACTGCAATTCAGGCGCTGGGACGTAAACGTGCAGTGACATTCTGGGTGCCCTGGAGAGATCTGGCCCGTGTCTTATAG